TCTCTCTCTCCCTCTCTCCCTCTCTCTCTCCCTCTCTCTGTCTCTCTCTCTCTCTCTCCCTCCCTTTCTTTCTCTTTCTCTCTCTCTCTCTCGCTACAGAGACCTGAAACTTGACAATGTGATGCTGGACTCCGAGGGCCACATCAAAATTGCTGATTTTGGCATGTGTAAAGAGAATATCTGGGATGGAATTACCACCAAGACTTTCTGTGGAACGCCTGACTACATTGCTCCTGAGGTGAGCCAAAGGCATCCTGTCTCTGTCTTGAACTTGTGTTTCTACTTCTCAGCAAAGGCTCCAACTTATGAGAGGTCATCCCAAATCCCAAATCTGTGTTAAATGGAGGTTAGTTTTGGTAAAAAGTTCAAGATTTCACACTTGCAACCAAAAATCTAGGACTCTGCCCACGGAGTAAGAACTGGCTTAAGTGTCTGTGTCAGAAGTTTGGGTAAAGCGAGAGGCAAGGAAGTGGGCGAGGGAAGAGAGCAAACAGTTTTGACAACCAATTGCTGGGCAGAGAAGCTGATAGAAGCTGATGAGAAGTCAGTTCAGGCCTTTGAAGAGCCTCTTGGGGAAGCCAATAGGATGCCAAGGGAGTTTCCGTGGTGTGGCATGGATGTGCCCCAGACTGAGTTGTTGCTGCTACTTATTTACTCAGCAATAGTGGAGATGGATATGCAGTCCCTAAATCCTTGGACTTTCAGTCGCTCTACTTGCTGCATGCATGGACATCCCCCCCCACACACACACACATTGCATGCATGGTCCATGCCATGATTAATTGGGATTAATTTTTTAGCCAGGGTGAAGATGCTTAAGTGAGTAAATATTGGTTGGGACCTTAATTAAAAATCCATTGTCGCTGGTGCTTGTCCTCCAAGGAAGAGAAATGGATTATAAAAAAAAAACAGTTTGATGATCTTTATGAAAGCTGTATGAACATCTGAGTCAAGGAAAATAGCTCTGCTCTTTCTCTGAGTGATGCTAAGCCATTTTGCCTGTCCTTCCTTCCCAGGGAGATATTTAATTACTATCCCTAATGTGTATTATTTTCCCTTGTTCTGCCAAGATTAATACGGGAGCCCTGCCAGGGTGATTAATGCTCTTTTGGAATAGAACAACCAGCCGTGTGCTTTGCTGGGCAACACGGCTACATCTCCAAAATGCTCATTTTCTTACATTTTGCATTTAATTAATTGTTTTCTTTAAAATGTACGAAAGAGGAAGACCTGAAGACCTGCACACCATAATTTTAGCAAAATAAAGGTAGGACATGGATACATCACTTGGAGAAGACAGAGAATAAATAAATTCCACCTTGTTTCAGGTGCAACAGCAGGCAGAGACACCTGTGTGGTTGTCTAATTTCCAAGTTCTTTTCTGGCAAATCTCAGGTTTAATGAAGTGGCCACGGAGCCTTCCCCCACTTCAAGCCTCCGGCTGCATCAGGACTACAATCCCACCTAAGCGGCACCCAGGTTGGGCCAGATGCTGCAACACAATACTGCCAATCACACCAGTGCAGACAGGCACTTAAAAACTCCCAGAATTGGGAACGGTTTGCAATCCTTTTGTTCTTCCTCCTGCAAATAATGCTGGCAGTTGGGGAATGCCTGGGATTTCATGGGAGGGAGAAACTTTTCTATTTTCTCCAAAAGGTGATTATTTTTTTCTTCAGGCACACACTTTCATATTGCTGCATTGGGAAATAAAGATGGAAAGATGAGCACTTGCACGCCTGGTGAAGAGCGGCCTTTGAGATGAAAGGATTTGCTTGAATTTCCCAGGCAGAAGCTCTCCTGCATTTGAGGTGCTGCCTTTAGGGGAGCATTTCTCAGTATTCAAAAGTTTTATTAGTTTATAATATACGATGCAATGGAAATACGAAAGTAAACAGCGGAAAAGCTGGAGAAGGGAAAAGGGAGTAGAGAAGTGAGGTAAGGGAGGGGGAAAAAAAGAAAAAATGCCTTCTTTTTTCTTTTTTCCTCCCTTACCTCACTTCTCTACTCCCTTTTCCCTTCTCCAGCTTTTCTGCTGTTTACTTTTGTATTTCCATTGCATCGTATATTATAAACTAATAAAACTTTTGAATACTTAAAAAAAAAAAAAAAAAGGGTGGCTTTTCTCCAGAGAGCCAAAATGAGGGCTGGAAAGCCGGCCTCGAACCCTCTGATCCAGGCTGCTTTTCACCCGGTTTCTTACGTGGGCATCTGTGCACATGTGGGGCTTTTAAGGCACTGTCAGCCCTGCCAGGTAGGCCAGTCAAGAACCAGCACTGCCGGGATCCAAGGAATGCCATTTTATTGTTAGGCTATTGTAACAAAATCTTGAAAGCCCATCGGCCCATCTAAGACCAAACAAAATCCAGAGGGGGGGGGGTGATTTTGAGTTTCTTCCTCAAGCTTTCCAGTTTCTTGAGACTGAGGAATTTGCATCTTCATGGCTTGTTCATTCCTTCCACATCCCCATGGTCAGGTGGCCTTTGCGTGCACCTTTCTGCTGGGCAAGTGCAGTGCTCTTGCCTCAACTGGACCACAAGACCAGGGATCCTTGGCCTCCCCACTCTTCTTCCTGACTGGACATTCACACGTGTCAGAGGGAGCCCCAAAGAGAAGCCAGCTGGATTATTCAAAAAGCTGCAGAAAACTCTCCCAATGAAAGCAGAGCAGTGGTAGCATGTTGCATGAATGCAGCCAGCTCAGCTGGTTCAAAGTGTTGGGTGAGGCCTGAGGGCGAATCAGAGAAAGCTCCCCTGCTTTTGTACACTTATCTTCCCTCTGATCTGCTTCCGGTGCCTCCTCTTTCTGGAGAAAAGCACCCCAGGGTCAACAGTTGGGTTATGAGTGGGAAAAGGTAAAAGGAACAGGGGAAAGAGGGCTGATGGACTTAGGTGGCACCCTTTATTTTAAAATACTTGCCTGGATTTAGCTGCTTTGCATACATCATTTGACTGCCTTCTTGACATAATTCTGCTCTTTAGAGTGTTTTATAAGACAATTAATGCAAAATGGTTTAGAAAAACTGCAAAGCAGATAAGGAGGGCTATGAGGAAGGCTTAAAATAGTGGCCCAGAGTTGGTGACTTGCCTTGGCCTTCCCCTCAAAGACCCAAGAATTGCCAAGCAAGGACCAGCTTGCTTCAGGCTGCCTGTGAATCACTTCTTCCCACTTCAGAGCACTGGAGATGTTAGGAAGACTTCTGAAGCTCCTCTCCTGGCAATAAACATGATCGAGTCTGTGTATATTTCACTTCAATTACCATGTGATTTGCATTCATGTTTGAATACATGAATCTTTTCAGAATAGAAATCTGTAATTAAGATGAATAAACTATGTAATGGTTTGAGTTAAGTAGCAGGCTGCAACCCCCCCCCCCCAAGCCATGAGATCTGGCTTCATAAAACGATTGACGCCAGAGTGCCAGACAATGGGCTCCTCCTGTTAAATGACAGTCAATATGCCACTGAGGAAGAGCTGAGGATCTTTTGTAGCACCAGCGGTGGTGGTTATGATGTGGCCAGATTAAAGCCTTCGGGAGGTCCAGTTGCTTAGTTCTAGGTTGCTTCTCCCCTTGATTAGTTTCCATCCATTGTTTCTTGTCTTGCCTTCTGATGCTTTGGAAAAATAGGTTGACCCCCCTCTTCTTTGTGGTAGTCCCTCAAATAGTGGAATACTGCTATCATGTTGCTCCTAGTCCTTCTTGTCACTAGACTAGACATAGCCAATTCCTACAACCTTTCTTCAATGGCTGTCCAATTTCTTCTTAAATAAGAAGAAATACAAACAAAAAGCTTCCAATTTCCCTTGCAGCAAATATAAGTACAATTACAAAATTAACTTCTTGCTCTATGTTTACAAAAGAAAGCTCACTCCTAGACATAGAATCTGAGGGCTGGAAGGGACCTTGGAGGTCTTCTAATCCAACCCCTGCCCAAGGCAAGAGCCCTTATACCATCCTGGATAAATGGTTCCACAACCTTTTCTTAAAAACTTCCAGCAACGGAGCACCCATAACTCAACAAACTGTTCCATTGATTAATCACTCTTGTTGTCAGGAAATTCTTCCTTATTTCCAGGTTGAGTCTCTCTCTGATGAGCTTCCACCCACTGCTTCTTGTCCTGCCTTCAAATGCTTTGGAGAACAAATTGGCCCCCTCGTCTCTGTGACAGCCCCTCAAGTACTGGAAAATGCTATCACGCCACCCTAATTCTTCTCTCCGATGGGCCGCTAGACATACCTAGTTCCCTCAACCATTCATCCAATGGTTTAGCCTCCAGACCTCTGATCATCTTTGTTGCTCTTCTCTGCACTCTTTCTAAGGTCTTTTCTATTATCCTTTTTAAAATTACCACAATCATAAAGTCCTTTCTTTCTTTTTCATGCAAAAAGCCCATAAGGAATTTCAGTCAACAATAAACATAGACGTTTTTTCTCATCAAAGAAGTCAATTTAGCCATCTCAGCACTTTTATCATCTTCAATAACTATTCCTCCATTGTTGGTAGTTTCAGACGTTTCCACTTTTAGAATATAAATAGTTTGCTGCGGTTTATATATATGAAAACAAAGTTCAATTTCTTTCTTTTTCTTTTTTTTTGAAAGACCACACTTGGAATACTGCCTCCCGTTTTGGTCACCAAGGTACAAAAAAGATGTTGAGACTTTAGGAAGAGTGCAGAGAAGAGCAACAGTGATTAGAAGGCTGGAAGCTAAGTATAAGATGAATGGTTGCAGAAACTGGGTATGTCTAGTCTAATGAAGAGAAGGACTAGGGGTGACATGATAGCAGTCTTCCAATATTTGAGCAACTGTCACAGGGAAGAGGGGGTCAACCTATTCTCCAAAGCACGACAAGCAAGACAAGAAATAACAGATGGAAACTTATCAAGGAGAGAAGCAACCTAGATATAAGGAGAAATTTCCTGTCATTGAGAACCATTAATCAATGGAATGGCTTGTATTGAAAAGTTGTGGGTGCTCCCATCACTGAAGGCTTTCAAGAAGAGACTGGACAGGAACTTGTCCAGAATGGCACAGGGTCTCCTGCTTGAGTAGACGATTGGACTAGAAGACCTGCAAGGTCCCTTCCCGCTCTGTTATTCTGTTATATTCAGAAGTGATGATGCTCTGTATCTATAAAGAACAGAATTGTTCAGGCAATAGATTTCTGTCACTATGAAATATGAAGTTGGGCTTTGAAGCAAGACAGAAAGAGTCTCGATGCTTTTAACATGTTGATATTGAAGAAGAGAATTCCAGTTTCTCAGGACTGAATAATCTTTTCTACTCTCCTCAAGGCCAGGTATACATTCCAAAATCTACTAGCCCTAAGGAGGAACAATAATCATTTTGTTCCCGTTGAAGCCCTCCCTGGATCCAGTGATTTTTTTCCAATTACTACCCAGTCACAATTACTTTGGGGAGGGGGCAAGATGGTTGAGAATAGGGTATCCTTGCAGCTGTAGACACTTTGGGAAGACATCAGTTATTTTGACTCTGGATTCAGGCAGGGTCTGGGGACAAAATCTGCCATGGTTGCCCTAATAGATGAGCTTCTGCAGAAGAGCGATGGAATGTTTCTCTATTAATTCTGCTTGATGTTTTTTGATGGCTTTTAACCCCCACAGCCATGGTGTCATGCTGGATAATCTTTAAGAATTTTGGATTGGGGGTAGTAATGCTGTGAATGCCACAGAACGCTCTTCAGCCTGCAGTGTTGTTTAACGTCTGCCGAGAGAGCTTTTGTGACTATCATAGATTGAAAAGATGGCAATTGTACTCCTCTATATTATCTGAACCAAGAGAAGCTATTGGGGCGTGTTCTGAACTAGCATCAGGATAAGAAAACCGAAACTTGATCATGACAAGATGTCTGGGAGGTTCCTGGGTACAGAAATTACGAAGTTTGCCTATACTCGGTGGACTGTACTTCCCTAGAAAGAATAGAGAGTAGATTGGTGGTGATCCCAAAGTCATTGGACAACCAGGTGACCTTCAGCCAGGAACATTTCAGGATCCGAATAGAGCTTTAAGGAACCTTGGAGGTCTTCTAGTCCAACCCCCTGCTCAAATAGGAGTCCTATAATATTTCAGACAAGTGGCTGTCCAGTCTCTTCTTAAAAAGCTCCACCAATGGAGCATTCACAATTTCTGGTAGCAACCTGTTCCACTGGTTAATTGCTCTCACTGTTAGGAAGTTTCTCCTTAGTTCTAGATTGGTTCTCTCCTTGATTAGTTTCCATCTGTTGCTTCTTTTCCTGCTTTCAGGTGCTTTGGAGAACAGGTTGACCCCCCCCCTTCTTTGTTACAGCCTCTCGAATACTGGAAGACTGCTATCATATCACCCCTAGTCCTTCTTTTCTCTAGACTATCCACACCTAAATCCTGCAACTGTTCTTCATATGTTTTAGTCTCCGGGCCCTTAATTGTCTTAGTTTCTCTTCTTTGCACTTTTTCCAAAGTCTCAACACTTTTTTTATAATGTGGTGACCCAAAGTGGATGCAATATTCCAGGTGTGATCTTACTAAGGCTTTATAAAGAGGTGCTAATACTAATTTACTGGTATTAATTTATTTCTTACTAATTTAAGTACTAATTTATTTCTTACCAGCTTCATCTTCTATAAGTCACTTTTTTCGGGGTTGTTCTAATTTCAAACGGTCACTAAATGAACTATTGTGAGTCGAGGACTACCTGTATTGGTATATTGGAACGTTACAGGCACATTTAACCTCACACTTAAATCGGCGTACAGGGGTGTGAAATTCAAACATTAAAGAAAAGTCTTCATGGACCACAGAGAGAGACCAGCAGCTCCTACGATTTGTACTTGTGGATGCTCTGTTTTGGCCCAGTTAAGTTTCAGTAAAGCCTCGTAGAGTTGTAGGATGGGGTGCCTTCTCCATTGTAGCCCATCCTTTTTCAAGGACCCCTTTCCTCCTGGGTGGGAACACTTGGCCTCCTCTTATGTGGGCAGTGGAGGGTGGCCTAATGCCGTTTTCATCCTTTTAAATGATATGGCACTGTAAGGCATGCTGGCTGGGGAATTCTGGGAATTGAAGTCCACACGTCTTAAAGTGCCCACGGTTGAGAAATACTGCTCTAAGGAAGTTAGTTATAGATTTGGTTAAATTTATATAGTTATCTCCTGTTGTTCTTGTGGAATTCTTTTATTTGTGGATGTGTCATTCTATTTCCATGGAAACTCCCTTCTGTGGGTATTTGCTGTGAAAGTCAGATAATAAATATTCTACAAATATGTAGCATAAGGACTGCAAACAGTGAGATAAGGGAGCAGGTGCTGGTGGGTCATGCTCAGTGGAAAGACAATTTGCCATTTCAGAAACCTGTTTTTCCTTCTTTGTGGAGGATCGGTTCCCATGGCGTAAGACTCCTAAGCAACCAACCTTCCTTTGCCTTTCTTGTGACTGGGAACTGCAGCTCATGGAAAAATGTCGGCCTTTTAATCAAATGTGTTAGAAAAAGTGCTGCCAGGCTCCAACCATAGGTGGACACGGTTCCCCTCCTACCACATTTCCCATCAAAACACTGTTACCACATGGTTGTGGGACCAAGAGTGCTATGGACTTAGTCCTGTAATGCAGTGGTCCCCAACCTTTTTTGGCTACGTGGACCGGCTGCGGCATGCAGTGATGCATGGTGGGGGGACAGGTTCACACTCTCAACTTAATCCCGTGCATGCACAAATGAAACCTTGGGTGCTTGCCCACCACTTGTGTGGCCCTGTTCCCAACGGGCCGTGGACCATTACTGCTATAATGGTGATGTGGTTTCTGTTGTCTTTCAGATAATTGCTTATCAACCCTATGGGAAATCAGTGGACTGGTGGGCCTTTGGCGTCTTGCTCTATGAGATGTTGGCGGGGCAGGTAATCCAGCCTTGTGCTATGGGGTGGGGTGCCTTTGGGGTGGGGCATCCCCAGATTTCCCTAGAGAAAAGAGTGGGTGCCTCTGAAGCCCCTTCCTCTTCTGCTCGCAGGCACCTTTTGAAGGAGAAGATGAAGACGAGCTCTTCCAGTCAATCATGGAGCACAATGTGGCCTACCCCAAATCCATGAGCAAAGAAGCGGTGGCCATCTGCAAGGGGGTGAGTGACGCCTTCGGCTCCCCTGGGGGAGGGAAGGGAGCACATTTCTCCCCACGTTCACAGTATGAAAGGGGCCAAGTTGTGGCTAGGCAGCAGCAGCTGCGATGGGGGAACATGACACGGGAGGGCCCTGGCACTGGATCTCCCACTGAGCCCTTCGCTGAGTGGCACAAGTTGGGCCTCCTGGCTCCCTTGCCTCGCTCCCAGACCAGAAGAGTCCGGCTGCTGCAACAGCCATCGGAGCTGCTTCGTAGGCCAAGCGTTCGGACACTGGGCCTGCCGATTATCTCTCCTCTTCTTCTGCATCCTGTTGCAAACGAAACCGTCACATGTCAGAGCTGATCGGGCTCTGAAGTACTTTATGAAGCTCCAGTTGAATTTATGGTGGGATAGGAGCTCCGTGGCATTTCCTTGGTTGAGCCTGAGCAGTGCAGAAAACAGCTCAAGGCTCTTACCGTGGAAATCTCAGTGCTGAATGAAACACATTCCTCTCCTCCCTTTGGATGGAAAAGGGAAGATCAGTTAGGATTTTCCAGAAAATGTCTCACTAGTGGCGACCAGAATGATAAGGAGACCGGCAGGATGGAGGCTGGAAGGGAACAGCTGAAGCTGAGGCCAAACTTATTTTCTCTCTTGTCACAAAAGTAGTGAGGGGTCTCGCTAGGTTTGCAGCTTCAAAGTCCTTCCACCCGTTGAGTAATTGACAATGTAAAAGCTAAGTAATCCTGAAATAACCTTGGTAATTGAAGTCCAACACACTGTGACTGACTTGGGTTTTCTTTGAAATCCACGCTTCTCCCTTCCACCTTTCACAGGCACAGGCGACCTTCTGTTGCTGGAAGATCAGAGGAAGTCCTGCAATCCAGCTTCCTCACCATTAGGCATCCCTCCCAGCGCTCCCCCCCCCAATCCCCACAGGTCAATCTGTGCAGCCCCAGAAACTTTGGGGAGGGGGCATTTGAAAAAGCAAACGTGTCCCTTGAGTGGTGCGAAGCCCTTGAGCCTTGTTGAGGTTTGCAGAAGAGGCGCGGGTCACTTGTGGCCCTTTCGAAGTGCCGCGGCATCCGGGCTGGCGGGGTTGGGGGCTGGCTGGCCTGGTGAGAAAAAGCTGTTCCACGGGGACTGGATTCGGGGAGAGCTGTGAGGCCCCTGGTGGGTTGTTGGGCACTTGATCTACTCAGAAAGTGGCATTCTTGGGCCTCCTTTTTCTCCCTCTCAGGTGCTTCAGGAGAAGATTTGTGTAGCTCAGGGTTGAAATGAGGGTCCTTGGCGCTCTCTGAGCTGGGTTGCTTTCTTGCAGACGTTTCCTTACCCAAACTAGGTAACGTCATCAGTGCTAGTGCTAGTCATTGCTCTTTCCATCATCCATCCATCCATCCATCCATCCATCCATCCATCCATTCTCAATCCAATTACTCTAACCCAGGGAAACCCAGACTGGTTGGCCTCTTCCTCACTCCCACCACTCCTCAGTATTCCCGTCTCGGCCCTGGGGAAATCCATTTACCACGCAGAGCCCGCCCCTCCCTGGGCCCGCCTGGCTGCAGCGACTGGGGCTCCGTGCAGAGGGGCCTTGAGGATGGCCTTGTCTGAGGGCTGGTGGTCCCCCACAAGGCCTTGGGTCCTGCTCTGCTCAGACAAAGCCTGCAGAGGGTTCTGCCCTGCAGCTGTCCTCCTCTTTCCCGGACCTCGGGGAGAGAGAGCCCTGCCCAGTTCACCGTCCGGCAGAAGCCTGGATGGGCTTTCTTTGAATTCTGTGCCTCGAGGTTTCCCGTGGGAATTTTGTTGCCAAATCACCTCAGATCCCGGGGGACGTTCCCAGACTGTGCAGAACTGGCAGCAATTTATGGATAGTCGAAGATGTGTGTTTTGATTTTCATGGTGGGAAGCAAATATTCAGGCCAAAGCTACTTTCAGGAGCCATGGAAGCCTACAGTAGAAAGAGATCTCAGAGGTCATCTAGCCCAACCCCTTTCTCAGGGAAGAATCTGCCAATGTATTTCAGACAGAAGGCGATCTGGCTCTGTTTGAAGACTTCTGGCAAGGGGATTCATAGCACCAAATGAGGCCATCTGGCCCACCGTTTGATGAGCCTTGCTCTTCTCCGAAGAGTCCCTCCTAATGGCTAATCGGTATCTAGTTCCGCTGACTCTGGTCCTGCCTTCCTCCATGGAACAACCCTTTAGACCAGGGGTCCTCAACCCCCGGAGCTGTGGCCCACTACTGGGTCGTGGCCCATTCGGAACCAGGCTGCGCAAGTGGTGGGTGAGCGCACACACGCAGCTCCACTTGCCCTTGAGGAGGGCAGGTGCGCTTGTGCGTGAAGCTTCATTTGTGCAAGCAACGGACATGCATGCCCACCACTTATGCCAATGGAGCTGTGCGCACTTGTGTGTACCTGCAACTCACACAACACCATCCTCTTCCCCCCCCGCCGGTCCGCCAAGCTGGAAAGGTTGGAGACCGCTGCTTTAGACCTTTAGATGGGCATCCTCTCTTCACCATTTTCTCTCTGTGGGGCAGGCTGTAGGTCTCCACATCCTTTAACTATCTCACCCAGCCCTCTTCTGAACCCACCCCAGTTGGCTCTGGGGTTTTCAGACTCTGCCTTGGAACCTGGCCAAGGCAGAGCGGAGGGGAGCAACTGCTGTTCTCCAGCCCCCCCCAGCCCAGCACTTGCTGCTCAGGGTGCATCCCTCAGACAGAAGGGGCTGGGCTTCCAAAAGGGAGAAAACACCCCCCCCATCTCAGGCCCTCCTTCTACTTGGAGGCCGCCTTTTCCCCTGGCACCAGCAGGGCCCACACAGACCCTGGGGTCAGCGGGTCCTGGGAGGGGGGGAACCAAGGCAGGGCCAGCTTCTCTGCCAGGCTGCGGCTGAAGCCATTCCAGGAAGCTGCGCCTGGCTCTCCTGGGGGAGTGATTTAGAGATAACCATGATGAACTTCCTATCAGTTTTATTTCCTTTCCCTGCAAATTGGCAAGAGATAAGACTGATTAAAACATCTGCTGGATTTTCAGTAATGGCTTTTCACACTTCTGGCAAATGCCAAGGCTGAATGGAAAGCAACAGAAGCAGGCAAGGGGGGGGGAGCAGGCTGTGGACACCCTCCCTTTCCTGTCGCACTGCTGCCTTTATTTTGGGCTTGAGGAAGATATGACACACACTTACATAATGCTATATTTGCGTACGCACCGAAATCATGCAGTGTGAACTTGAGTATACCCCACACACACTCCAGAAAACCTGGTGATGCCACACCATCTCCTTGCGCATGGCAGCCCTGGCTACAAGTGCAGCAGGTGATCTCCCATGATCAAAAGGGGAGGGGTCCTTCCTATAACACACCTTCTTGATACCAGGTGTTGCATGTCTCTCCCACCCCCAGACCTGGGGAGACACACACCCCTCCCAGCCCCAGGCCAAAAAGGAGGCTGGCTTCCGGGGAAAGCACCAAGCCTTATTTTTCAGCTGCTGCTTGGAGAGAGATTAGTTTGGCCCAAAAGCATTCGAGCTGGTTTGCCCAATGCTCTCAACTTTGGCTGCAAGGGAACATCCTCTTGGACGGGAGCAATTCCCCAGCAGAAGGAGGTGACTTCCAGCTGCTGAACGTGGAGCCAGAGCAGGAGAGAAAAAGGGAACTTGGGTGCACATCCTGAGGCTCTGCTGGTTCTAGACCCCTCCAGAGGGAGGGCTTCGAAAAGCTGGAATGCACGGCTGCTGCTCAGTTGCTTCTGAGCAAAGGAAACCCCCAGCCCCGACCAGCCACTGCAGTTTCTGCGGTCTTGTGTGGCCGCCTGAGCTAGCAGGACTAAGGGAATGTCCTCAGGTGCTGGCAGATGCCAAGAAGACAGGCACCGGAGAACCGAGATGGCGCCAACCCTCATCTGGCACTTCAGGTCCCAGTGCTGTGGTTCTTGACACCTCTTGCACTGCAGATTGAGCAGGACACAATATTAGATGAGCCTCGAGGTCTCTCCTAACTCTAAAGCCCCCTAAGTCTTTATCCCCAGAAACTGGGGTGCTCAGGACTTGGAGTTCTCGCTGAAATCACCTTGCAATGAAAGAAGCAGTCCTGTCACTCAAACTATGAGTTCCTTTTCCACAGATGTGACTATGTTAGCTTGAGTAGCAAGCTTTGTGGAAGTGGTTCCAACCTTCCTCTTTTGGTAGAGCATGGAGTTGACTGTGAAAGAGGTCCACATCATGGAGAGAGTGATGCTTTGTAGAACAACAGCTTTTACGAGGCTTTCTGGAGTTTTTTTTTCAGCTGCCCCGGAGCCCCCGGCACGTCACACATAAACAGGAGCGCTTGCTCTCACCTCTGCTTGGGGATTTTCAAAGGTGCTTGGAACAACCCTGTTTCCAGAAGCTTTGCCTCCCCCCCCCCCCATGTTAGAGGCAAGGAAGTGCTCACGTCCTCAGTGCAATGGCCAATTTGCTGGTCCCTGGCAAAGAAAACAGGTGCCTCTTCTGGCAGGCTCTGCTGCGGCTAGTTGAGTTGCAGTGCATGTGGCTGGCATGTTCCCAAATGGCTTGTGGATTGTTTCTTCACGGGCAGACTCTCAACTGGCTGGAAATAGCTTGGCTTAACTGTGGCAAGACCAGCCGAAGCCGTCTGGGATGTGCTGCGCCTGGCAAGCCAGGGTTTCCATGTGAGATTTTTTTTTTTTTTGCTGAAAAGAAACACACAACTTCCTTCTGGTCCTCTCGGAGCAGCTGAGAAGGTCATCAAAGCAGGGTGGCTGGGCAAAAGTCTTGCCTCCTGAAACCATGTCCCTCCCTCCTGGATGGGGGGAGGAGAAAGAGGAGGAGGAGGAGGAGGAGGCAGCCCTGCACTTGGCAACAAAGAGCAGAAATGGAACCACTTGCCTTTCCGCCTCCATCACATATGGCACAAGTTTAATTCCACCGAAGCTCACTTCTGCCAATGAGCTTCCTCTGCAGGGTATATAAAGAGACACCGAGAGTGGGAGCCTGGTTGGTGCGGTATGAAATGGC